CATTCGAGTGGATCTATCGGCGATAACTAGTATAATATAAATAAGTATAAAATAAATTCACCTATGTATATTATAAAAAATACATGGAAGCATATTTAAGATTTCAACCCTTATCAACCATGACACTTTAGCTAAGATAGTGGAAAAAATATAATTAGCTTACCAATTAACTTAAATTAACACATTTTGATAAAATTATAACATGTTTATAAGAATAATACTTAATTAAGCATTAAGTTGTTATGTTTTTTCTCATCTATTATACTTAATTATAAATATACAAAAGAGTTCAGTATCTCTTTCTCCTCTGTTCGTCAACCGATTTTCTTTTTTTATTTAGTAGGCATTGATCTAAAGCTCGTCAATTTCAATAATGATTTTGATACAATAAAAATTATAATTGTCCTTAAATAGCGGCTGTAACTGCTGATGTCTATTACAACGGAAGTTATGGCTACGAATACTAGTGAATAAATGTTAAGATAATTAGCAAATTATCCTGATTTCGTTCAGGCGTATTCCTAAGTCCGCCAATTTTCCAACTACAAGATGCTTCTTTTTGACAGAAATATAATTATTCTTAGTCAACCGAAGACTCTAACACTGGACCTAAAATCTGCAGCTGTAAAGCCATGTACTCACGAAGGGCGTGACCCATAAATTCATAGATTTAATGTAATTTTTCCATTATTAACCTGAACGGATATAAAAGTAAAACGATTTAGTTACATATGTACATAATATGTACATCTGTATTTTAATATATTAATATTGTATTACTTTCTCAATATATCAGAAAATCCAAATATCAAGCTTTAGCCATATTAAAAATAACATATTTAAAAGCAAATTATATTCGATTTTATTCATTCAACAAACAAACGGTACTTCTAACCCCTACATAGACAATAATAGAGTATCTACTTCTATTGCTTTACGAGTATGTACGTGCGTTATGCCTCGATTGGTCGCGGTCCAACCAATCAGGTAATAGATGGTGCGCATGCGTAACGAGAACCAAATAGGTACTGAGAGTATTCAAAACTTTTTTTCACCTTATTGTAGTTTATAGTGTATATAAACAAACACAGCTTTAGATAAGATTGTAAACAGAGATAGAATCGGTAGAGATATAATAAGAACAATTTCTAAAATGGAGGGTAGTTATAATTGTCATTTGTTTTGTTTATTTTAAAAGAAGTGTAATGTATGCATATGTATATTATAATATATTTTTAGGAATAGTATTGTAAAAAGTAATTGTTGGCGATAAAGTGAAATATAGAGGCCTAAATATTTTAGTTCTATTTTTTTCTGTTCTTTTAGTAAATTAAATTTTAGCGCGCAGTTTTCTAAATATTATAAAAAAATATATTCTAAAATGGATTTTAACTAATATATTAATTATTATGTAGTGTTTTGTTGGTATTTTATTAAAATCTTGCGAGTAGAAATATTATTTATTATTAATAATTCATAATTCGATATTATCGATATTCGAAATTTATTTTATTTTACTATAGAAAAAATAATATAAATTTCGAATTAATATTTCGAATTCAGACACTTTCAGTAGCTACTAGTATCTGACCATATACTATAATCATTTGATTTTTTCGCACCAAGCTGTCCGATGCATCGCTAACAAGATGTGTTACACAATAAAAACACATATCATGCAAAAAATTCGACATAAAGCGAAAGACACCCCTAATAACAAGTTATCACTTGCCCAAGTACACGATACTTGTCAAATATGACAGCCGTCAGTGGTGTCAAAAGTGACAGCTGTCAGATTCGCGGCAGAATTAAGACGTGAGGTGTCAGATACGGTACGGAACCATTGATTAAGTATCACAATTTAATTATATAGGGATGAAAGTGCTATAACTTTTCTAATATTAGGGTAAAGTTCAGTTCTTTATGCCTTTTATTTAGGGAAGGTGCATATCCTATTGCATAGATAAATTATTTCTTGTTAAAGTCACACGTCATATGGGTTTTATTGTAATTAAAAATGAATATCGACATCTATTGAAAGATTTTTTTTTTATTTTAGTAAAATATTTATTAGCGATTTAATATATACAGGTAAGCAATATTTAAAAAATATTATAATCCTATAGAACTTCATTAGAAAAGGTAGAGATTGTTTACATGAGTATTGCAAACTGGTGGATTTTACGCGTTTGAGCAAATAAGTTAATACTTAATTCTAATGCAAGGAAATCTCTTCATTATCAAGATTGTCGTTTTATTAGTTTGTATGCTGGTCCTCTTTTCATGCAACAATTTAGCAACGAATATAATATAGTATAAATACCAAACTGCAAAAAACAATTTTTCATAGGAGGATTTTTCAAAGTGCAAAGTCTTTCGGAATCGATGTATTTCTTTCATATTCAAATTTGCTATTTTTAATGTTTATTTATGTTATTCTATTAAAATTAGAGTAAGGTATTAATGGGAAATGTTGTGAGTGATACTTTTACATATCATAAGTTTTATAATTTTATACTAGGGCCTCGCTTCAATTTCCCATAGGTAATGAGTGTCCAATAGGTAAAACAGGCATAATATATATTTTATATTAACTAATTATCACTAATAATGTTTGTTTGATCTTCGATAACGGCTGAACAGATTTTAGTGAAGTTTAGAGTGCAGATGGCTTACCTATATGCCTGAACACTACGTAGAGCAAAACAAACGAAGCGGACTAAAACTAATTCAATAGTGAAACCTATTTAACTTTAAATAATATTATTTATCAAGTTAATAATAACATTTTTTATTAAATTTACGTACATAAAAATACATATCAATGCTAACAGAAAGCTTTCAACACAAATCAAACGGACAGAACAATCAGTCAGACCTATGCAAATTTCGCAGATGCACTACCAACCCCTTAAACCCTCAGTGAAATTGCCTCTACCTTAAACCCATGGTATAAGTATGGGATTAATGTAACACGTAAAATAATTTACTTCCTGTCCGTTACTATATCCGTTATCTATACTTGTAATAATTAAGGAGGCTGAGTCTCTACATTGCATTTTTACGTATATTTTATTATTAAATTTTACTTTGCAAGGAATCTTCATTATAGCCAGTAACTGGACAGCTAAACTTCGTTCGGCGTTTTCGGAAATGATATGAAAATTGCATTTTTTCGGGAAAAACATCTATATAGATAACTATGTATATACAAAATTTGATCAAAATCGTTAGAGCCCTTTCCGAGATATACGAAATAAATTTATATTTATACTAGAATTGCTCATTTAATATACCTAATCATATTTAGTCAAACAAAGCACTAAGCTTAAAATGTTGTAGTTTTTTACTTTTTTTTATTTAGTCAAACAAAGTTGGGCAAGCTTTGAAGGAATTTTAAATTACTGACCGATTTTTTAAAATAGGTATTGAATATGGGTGTGTGTTTTTTGTGTGTTACGCGATATCTCTACCATTGAGTAGTCGGTTTTTATGATTTTTTTGTAATGTATAAGTTTTACCTTATATTTCGTGTTAATTTCAAAATAATTTTGCCCTAAAAGTAAAAATAGTTACTTTTTAAGTGATTATAAAGCTATATTGCTATTTGTAGAGCTATGTCGGTTCTCGTAAAATGACGGAGTTTCTTTTAAGTACATTTCATCAAAGCTATAGCTTCTGAGATCTCGTATAAAATAAATTTGGAACTTGGATAGTTTGATAGTTAAATAGAAAAATAACGTCTGTAACGTAATTTTTAATTTAGTTATTAATCATTATTTTTTTGTATTGATTTTCCATATTTTAAATGCTTGTAGATACTGCAATGAAACTCGGATGTTGTTTGAACCCATCTGTGACATTTTTTTTAGTAAGCAATTACTAAAAAAAATGTCACAGTAAGTATTATTTTAGCAATTTAACAATTAATTTCTTAGTGTCATATAATAATAACAATAAAAATTGCTCAAATCTCAAAAAAGATTTCGATTTGTTTTTTCATTGCCATAGTCTAAGTACTATCTCTTTGCAAAAAAAACATCAATTAGTTGTAAGAGAAGACCAAACCAACAACCATACTATCATTTATCTATATATAAATAGGCAAAGACAAAAAAGTTCAGTACCTCCTTTTGTTCTCTATTTGTCAACCCATTTTCTTTTTTTTGTTTAGTTGCTATGGACGAGCTTTTGCGTGATCAATAAAAAAATTATTATGTATACTCAATTATATAATATATTTATAATACTACTACTACTACGTAATACTTTTCTTAGTAACTTTGTGATTATATACTTATTATATATTATACGTAACTTATAAAGTCAAAAAATATTTAAATTTTATTATGTTGTTTTACGATGTTATATGTAGATGAACAAATTTACATATGTAGTGAAATACTAAACTAATCGTTCTTTAACTAAGTAATGATTCATATAAAATTAATAATTCAGTAATCGTAATTTTACGAAAAAATATATTAAATATTTAATTTTAATAATATGTTTGATTGATTTTCTCTTACAATAGTAACTAAGTCATTATTTCATCTCTTTATGGTCAAAATAAAACGTGTACACATTTATTTAAACAGCTTTTATTTACAAACAGTATATAGTGCATAAACAATTGATCTAACTTATTCCCTTATAATCTAACATTAGATGGTATTTCACATAGGTAATACTATACGGCAAGATGTTCATACTTAAAACATTAAATTAAGCAAAGTATACTTATCTAACATAATCTCATAGATCATTAATCATTGATCTATATTTAGGGATTAATAAATAAATCGGCAGGACGGATAACTTTCACTAATCACTATAAGTCTAACTTAAACTAAATATAATAGAACAAAAACGACACTTTTTATAGGTATTTTCGCTACTGGTAACGCTTATTGTGTTATAATAAATATCCCTGTACACTAAATTCTAATAAAATTTTGGTAAATCAAATCTCTGAGGCATATCACTGAACGTACCACTTATTGTAAGAGTTCGTATAACGCTGCGATGTAAGTTTGGGCCATTTGTAGAGTTTCGTATTTGGACAGTTGTCGGTCGGCACCTAGAGACGGTAAGTGTCCTCGGAGTCTGTCGAAGGCTTTGTTTAAATTTTGCATGCGTCGTCTTTCTCTTGCGTTTGCGGCTAAACGTCGTCTTCTTAACACAGCCGCGCTGGTGGCTCTACCCCGTCGCTTTCCAGATCCTTCTAGATCCACGTCTGAACTATCTTCTAGCAGATCGTTTGACAAGCCTCTGTAAGCGATATGAGTTGGTGATTCCTGGTTTCCATCCATTGAAGATGTAGGTTCCAGGCTCGAGCGTCCAGAGTCTGGGGATCTCGGCCAAGAAAGGTAGCACTCATCGGTAGCGTACTCCAACATGACGTCATTAGGAAAAATATCCTTTTCGGTATACAAAAGACGATGTCCGTAAGTCTCGGCTGCCATTTTTATGATAACAGGTAACAGGTGCGTTCACAACGGTATCCCGGAGGGTTATGAGGATCCCGTGTACCTGGCCCCCTTATATATTTTCCAGGTTTGCAAGAGTGAGATGGGTGGATTTTTTTGCACGGGCGCGAAAAAGATGGGAGATAGTAATCATCATTAATTATTTCTACCCCGGCGTGTAGTTGGAGTTATCTTAGATTTCGTAACAGTTCTATAATATTATTGGCATTTGATACGTGATGTTACAAGGTCATATTATATTGTCGCCCGTGATTTTACTCGTATATTTCTTATATTACAATATACTAAAAAATATTATTTTATTCAATTTTAAGGGAAAAATGAGTAAACTGCTTACTAAATATATTTTGCATGCATTTTCGTGTTAATTGTAGTGTAAAATATAAGGAAATATTTCACTTATCTAATTTTTAGTAATGTTAATTTAATATTAAAAAACTTAAGACTAGATTTTTAGTCCCGATGTGTATCTTTCGGCAGTTCTTAGGATTGAGGTAATTTTCGAACTGCTTGAGTTTTTAATAAACAATAAACTGTATTTTTAAAATTATTATATTTAGAACATGAATTCAAACAAATTTTAATTTATTTTTAGATTTTCACTGTTTACTAATTATAAAAGAAGCAGAAAAGCAATACTCGTAGAATTTTACGCATCATTTAACGGAAATCAATGATGACAGGTTTTTTTATAACGCGTGTAGTATCTGAAAGCTTCATGAGTACTGCAAAATACATTATTTAAAGAAAATACTACGAACTACGCTTAGAAATAAGAAAATCATATAGGCTAAATAAAATAAATCAAACCCAATTTCTATAATATGTATTTTATGAATAAAACTCGTATTTTGCTTATAAAAAGGGTACAGGTAGGTAAAAAATTGTTTCCCTCGCAAACCAGTCCATACACGACACCGTGACCCGAGAGTCGAATCGCTGATATAGTTTTCACTAGTCCGAGGTGGGTGAAACTCAACACGGTAATGTAGGTGGCCCTTATTTTAAGAGATTACAAAAATTTTGGATGTGGTAATTTAGCGCATGGACTATTTTGAGAAAAATATATTTTTTAGGTATTGAAAAATAATTTTATTGAATGCTTATGACATGGTAACGGTAAAGGGGAATATAAGGTTTTTGACGTTTCAAAAGTCATAGTTATTACAGACGATGTCTATCCATAAAATTATACAATTTCATTTATATTTGAAACGTCGGAAGCAAAAATGAATATAAAGCCGCGAACAAATTCTAAAAGATAATTTTATTTAAAATGTCAAATATTCGCGTAAATTTTAGAAAGTATTGTAATGTTAACGACCCACTGTTGGGCACAGGCCTCTCTTCAATACGCTAGGATCTAGCCATAGTCCACCAACCTGGCCAAGTGGGTTGGCGGACTTCACATGTCATTTCGAAAACTTGCTTGGAGTAGACATGTATATTTTCTCACGATATTTTTCTTCATCGTAAGGCAAGTAAGTGGTAATTATGTTGGAAATGATTCGCACATGAGAATATCAAAGGTGCGGGACCAGGATCTGAACCCGCTTCTTTGGTTTCTTAAGCGAGCGCGTTACCACTAGACTAAAAATTGGGGGTTAAGTCCCAAAAACACACTTTGGACTTACACTGCTATTGTGAGGCCAATTATCACCTATGCATCGGTAGCCTGGTCCAATAAGGCCAAGCAGACGACAGCCATTCAAAAACTAGACAGCCTACAAAGAACAGCCTGTCTAATGACCACAGGAGCCATGTCTATATGCCCTGGTCAGGCACTAAATGCACTACTCGGGTTGCCACCTTTAGACCTATTCATACAAAAGGAGGCACAAGCCTGTATGCACAGAGCTAAAATCCAGGGCAGAACACATTGGCTCTCACGAAAAATGAGGACTCTACAGGACTCATTGCAAGAAATTCCGCTACTTGGTATGACGACTGATGCCATGTTAATTCGGCACTTATTTGCAAAGTATTAAACAATTGAATTTCCGTCAAGGGAAGACTGGTCCAAAAGCCAGATAATCCATAAAAACGGATCTCTAATCTGGTTCACAGATGGCTCAAAGATAGAAGCAAAGGTTAGCTGTGAAATACATGGAGAGCGACCGAGGTTCAGCAAAAGCATACACCTCGGACAATTTGCCTCTATTTTCCAAGCAGAAGTCTATACTATTCTAGAATGTGTAGAAGCTAATCTGTCTAAGCACTACACAAATCAAACTATCTATATATATTCAGATAGCCAAGCTGCACTACTAGCGCTGGACTCAAACACAGTCTCATCAAAGCTAGTGGAGCAGTGCATGGACCGACTAAACCTCTTAGCAAAAAGCAACAAAGTAGTGCTAAGATGGGTACCGGGTCATGCAGGGGTAATTGGCAACGAATGTGCCGATAAGCTCGCTAGAGGGGGAGCTCTTGGCATGCAGCAGGGCCCTGAGCCCTTCTGTGGAATACCTAAGAGCCTGGCTCAAAGAACCCTAATGATAGCATGTCTCAGGACTGCGAACAAGGCTTGGACTGAATCAAAGGGAATGAGTCACTCCAAGGCACTAATTAGAGCCTACGACAAAAGGTTCAACAATCTTATGCTAGGGCTAAACAGGAAAACCTTACGAATACTGGTAAGGGCCTTTACTGGACACTGCTGCTTAAATAAGCACATGTTCAACCTGGGGCTGAGCGAAACGCGAACCTGCAGAATTTGTAGGGAGGCAGACGAAACGCCACTTCATCTTCTGTGGGAATGTGGACCGCTCATGCACAAACGCAGCATTCATCTAGGAATACAATTTCCAAGCCTTGATGAAATAAAAGAGTGCAACCCTAAGAAAATCCTGCAGTTCTTAACATCAGCAGGGTTTAGTGGTTCACTCTAGTACAAATAGCGGCGATCACAATAGACCAGAAATGGTCGCAGTGATACCAAATAGCCGCAAGAATAGAAATAAAAATAATACCACTAGACTATCACTACCAGAAAAAAATATATTATAATTTATGTATTATGTATATTATAAACCTTTATAAAGAAACAATAGTACCTCGTAATACTCCTAATAGAATAGTCATTAGTAAATAGGAATTTACTTGTAAATATAATAATATTACGTTTAAGTGACATGAAGAGTTTTTATGAATATTCTATTCTTTTTTTAAGTACCTGTTATACTACGCCCTTTTTTCGGTTAACTCGAGAGTTTTTGTTATATACGCAAATATATGAAGCGCAAAATATATTTTTTCATATAATTATTTAAATGTAAATAATAAGTGTTTATACATTTATTAAAACACTATTTTTATTTTTTTAAACAATTAAACTGGTAATTTAGAATATTTAATCGCAAAGTTTCAACTACTTTATAGCAAACATGGCTACAAAGGAATATTTTTGTATAAAATCTCAAATGTAATAAAAAAATATATAATTAGACCTACTATATAAGAAATTGTATAAATAAATATATTTTATTAGGTACTTTACCGTATCCATTTTTAGGCGATCTATTTAGTTGCATCTTCCTTTCCCAGGTGGTCCGTTCGTTTTCCAGAATTTGGTTCACATGTATGCAAAATCACGGTTTTTCGTAAAGTATTAGTAATTAGATTAAACTTAACATCCTTTCATTAACAACTTTTGTACAATGAACTAAGTCTGACTTAAAAAATATATATATATATATATATATATATCGTTGATTTTTTGTATTGGGATAAGATTTGTGTATTTGTCATACAATCTCTTGTCCCAATGAGAATAATAAATATTTTTTTCATTGTTGCAATAGCTATTATGAAAAAAAAATATTTAGGAATATATTACTATATACTATACTAGCGACTCACTCTCGCTTCGCTTGTGTTCGTCCCTAGGTTGATTCCCTATACAAATTTTCATCCCCATTTTCACCCCTTTTAAGAGATGATTTCCGAGATAAAAACCATTTTATATCCTTCTCAGGATCTCAAACTTCTCTATCTTCTTACCAAATTTCATCTAAATCGGATAAGTAGTTTCGGAGCTTATTCAGTACAAACAAACAACCAAAAAAAACTTCCTTATTTATAATATTAGTATAGATTACGTACATAAATACAATTAAAAGAATATTTATTACCATAAAGCTTGTAATATTTACTTGAAAAGCCATTATCTAATAGTAATCTATTAGTAAATACGGATTACTCAACCCTTTTATCCTTTAGTGAATACATCTATTGTGATTTGTGATTGCATTTTGTACCTTTTTTTAAGCCTTTAAAGGAACACCGAACTAAAACAATGTATTAAGCTAATAAGTATTACATACTTATTAGAAGCAATAAAAATGGTTAAAAATAATAAAGCAATTACAGAGTTATAACTAAGTAGGTAGATTTAGTATTTTGAAAGCGGCTATCGTATTCTATACATATAATAAAATTGTATCTGATCGCTGTCTGTACGTGGAAGATATTTGAGAAAAACTATTATTGGGGGTCTTTATTAACGCAATAGAACCTAACACAATGATTTTTAGAATTTTTGTCTGTTCGTCTATTCTTTATGCGCGCTTATTTCAGAAACAGCTTAACCGATTTGGATGCGGTTCTCATTAATGTATTTTGGTAAGCTTCATTTAACATTTAGTATTTGTTTTATTTCAATCGGTTCTTAAGAAAAGTAATGTCAATTTAAAGAATTACCTAGGGACGAACCCGAGAGAAGCGAGGATAAATTGCTACTATTATAATAAAATATTAGTAAAAAAACCTTTTATGATGAAAGTGACTTGGGGATGTCTAAATGTCTTACATTTAATGATTTTTCATTTTTTGATTGGTACCTATTGATATCTATATAATCTTTACTATACACACGTACAGTAAGATATGTCATTAGTAGGTACTTTTTGTTAGTGAAAACTAAGTGAAAGTACTGCACTCAAGCACTATTTTTTTGATACTAACTGATATTTTTT